TGCATAGGTTTTGGTGGCAACTTGCAGGGCCTCTGTAACTTCAAAACACTGTACTAAAGGAATAACTCTAGTTTAGATTTTGTGCAAGGTTTTAGGGCACTTGCTGAATATAATTAAAGAAAGCAAAATGTGGGAAGCTGACATGGCTGTTGTGTACAACCTTTATCTGCATCCATCAAGATGGGATGTGAGGGACAGGAGGGAGACTTTTTTTAAGGAAAGGTCTCTTGCTTTCACTACATAGTGGTAGTTAAGGCATTCCTCTAGCACAAGACATCAGAGCATCAGCGTGCAAGGTGTAGGAAAAGTGCTTCCCAGAAAAGAGATGGGAAATGGGCTGCATCACTGTCATGCATTCTTGTTACCTAATGCATCTCTTGTATATTAGCAGACCTCATGTGCCTGCAGTAGTCTAGACAGGTGTACAGGCTGGTGTTGCAAGAATTCGCAAACGTTCATGCCACAGCTCCCTCTGGGCTCACCTCTGGAACTCAGTATTCAGGTTGGCTTTGCACAAACGAACTCTCAATTTTAACAGTCTACTTTGAAAACTCTGGGCAGCCAAGCCTGAATTAACTAGTGTATGTGGTGCACTTGAACAGGGCACAGGAGCACCAGGCCAAAAAAGGGATGGGCAGCTGGTGGCTTGAGTCGCATTCAGCTTGTCAGATCCCTTTATTTGGTCTGCTACCCTGTGTGCTGGAAGGGAGGGATTCTCTCCCCGCCCCCCTCCAATTTCAGCATGTTGCTCCTGCATCCTCCACCTCCACTTGTGTGACTGGCTCCTGGCCATAGAAGGCATGCTGCTGTGAGAGTGCTTCTATTGCTCTGGTAGCCGGCAGTGCTGCCTAGCTGGCCAGCTGCTGCTGTGAGTGCTTTGTTGATCCAGTAGCAGCTGGCGCTGCCTCACTGCTGTGAGAGCTGTTTGCTCTGACGCTTTCTTGCATTTTTCCCCTCATCTCATGACACCCCACTCCCAATCTGCAGTTTGGGAACTATTGTGCTATTTAATAGTAGCCCATGAGACATGCTTCCCTTCATGCTTTCCATTATATAACATCCATGTTGCATGGAAATTAGTATTGCAGATCTATTCCTAACTAATGTAGAACTTTATCCTTTTTAAAGAACTCTGTACTCTTCCTGTGTCTCCTCCTTCTTGCATTTTTACCACCTGGCCCCCTCTCTCCTAGGTTCTTCCACCCTTGTAATGAGAGATGGTTTCTTTCCTTTCCTCCTTCTATAGGGTTGCTAGTAAGGTGGGGAAGGGGTTTCAAATGCTCTAACAGGCTTGAGGGCTCTTGCAGTGGGCACCTGTAGAAGCAGATCAGACTGGACTCATGCCTCTGTTCTTTGTTCTGGGAATCAGAGTCAAAATTGGTCTTCGTCTATATGATAAATCAGAATATATTCCAGTGGTGGCTTGGCCTTGCCTCACACAAGTACCAGCAGCTTCACATTTTAAATAAGCAGCCATAAGTCTAGAACTTGGCTAACAATTTTGATGCACAAGATGGAATAAAATGGAGTTTTTTTCACTAGATCTGTGCTAGTCCTGCAGTGTTAACCGTAGCATTGCTCCATTTCGTTTGCCTAGTCAAGACCGCATAAATACTGATGTGTGCAATATGCACTCCTCTGACCTGAACACCAGTAGTGAGCAGCTATGGAAGATCAGTGTTCCAAATGCTGGGGAAATTTTTCTCTTCCAAAGAATCCATTGTTCAGGAGACTGGGAAAACTCACTTAACTAAAAGATGTGCAGAAGTCTGGGGCCAAGGAAGTAGTAATCCCCATTGCAATAATCTGCATGTGCTTTCATAGAACTGTAGCTTCCTACTTCAACTAAAACTGTCTTTAAAGAACACTTACCCAGCCCTGTTGGCTGGTGCAAAGCTTACATCCTCTGGGAGAGAGCCGTTCAACAGCAGTTGTTAAACAATCAACTTGAGTTTCCAAATTTAACCCTCTTAACCCTTTTTGAATCTTCAATAACTTGCCGGATGTGTTGGATTTCTTTGTAAGGAAACTACTTGTTTCCTGGCTCTACGCAATAAACAAGAATCTTCTGCTCTTGGCTGTATTGTTGAGACTCACAGCTCTACTGTAGCTTTTCTCTGGTCTTCTAGGGTTAAGTGTTTTTATCCAACGTGATAGCAGTAAGATTGCTAGCAGGTCTGGGTTCAGGAAAACAGGTCAGTGTGGGAGCTGGAGCCAAGGTTGAGGGCTCATAAGAGAAGCCATATGGCTTTCGCCACTTACATCTGTAATGTAGGGAATGAAGAGTACTGTCCATTTCAAATTTAATAGGCCACAAGTTCTAAACATTGAAGCATCTTGCAACTTTAACTGGAAATGTAAGTGCCTACTGTAATGTTTACATAGTAGACTATCCTGAAACCGATTCTGTTGCCCACTTCTGGATGGTTTATCTCTAAATGCTGCTCTCAGGATGGCACTTCAGATTTCACATGAAGAAATCCTAGCTACAGGGAATGAGCGAGATTTCAGGTGGTATCTACCAGCATGGCAGATGTCTGAACAAGGGAATTAACATGTATTCAGTGAGACTACAGTTTAGTAGCTGAGTAGCTTGAATCAATTCATTTTCTTGCTTGGGGGGAGGGGGAAAACAAGGGGGTCAAGTTAAATCCTTAAAGGTTCTTTGTCTCACTAAAAAGTAGGGCTTTATTCCCTCTCAATTTCCCTATGATGTGTACTGTCTCTTACTGCTAGCCTTGCAGATTCAATCTGGCATCTGAAAGGCTAAGTTTTTTTTTTGTTTTTTTGTTTTTTCATACTTCAGTGCACTAATAAAGATACTGCAGGCTTTATCACCTCTGGGGTCTTCAAATCATGCTCTTGGTGACAACCATGCAACTCTGCTTCATCAGTAGGCTTTCACAGTGCATTCTAACAGATTAGAACTGTGCAAACTCCTTACCTGAGAAGATTGTGAAGGCTAGGACTATAACCGTTTAAGAGAACTGGATAAATTCATGGTGGTGAAGTCCATTAATGGCTATTAGCCAGGACGGGTAAGGAATGGTGTCCCTAGCCTCTGTCTGTCAGAGGATGGAGATGGTTGGCAGGAGAGCGATCACTTGATCATTGCCTGTTAGGTGCACTCCCTCTGGGGCACCTGGCATTGGCCACTGTCAGTAGACAGGATACTGGGCTAGATCAACCTTTGGTCTGACCCAGTACGGCCGTTCTTATGATGTTAAACAACTCTTAGTGCAAAGCCACAGACAGCATGGCTTTATTTCTTCCTTTGCAAGAATACCTCATTAAACAAGACTTAAAATACACACCTGAAGCAGATGTGAGTAAGAAGGTGCCATGTTAGTCATATTAGAGTAACTACCTTAAATGGGTACCAAACTGAAATCCATCTAAGCTGGTACCAGTGACTTTAAACACTGCATCTGGAGTCTCTTAATGACTTCCATAGTGCTACAATTGAACTATCATGTCTCTTAACAATATTTTTCTCTCCTCTTGCTATGAAAGACCCCTACAAACAAGTGGCAATATTCTAGATAAACAGGGCTGTCAAATGCATACAAAAGAAACCTTTCTCTAACCTCAGTCCTAAATGTTAATCAACTGCTTTGTAACACTAGCTGCACTTGATTGTTTGGTAACTCTGATTTAGGTGCTCACAACATGGTGTAATATTGCAGCCTACCAAGGGCACTGTAATAATCAAAGGGCGCTCACAGGTGCTGAAGTCAGATGTGTGAACCTGTAGTTTCTCAAATCATTACAAGGATGAAGAGGTTTAACACTCAAATATGGCAAGCTCATTACACTGAAACATGTATCATTTTGAATAGATTAGACTGAAGCATGTCTAGCAGTCATCTTCTGCTGCTCTAGCCTAAATGATATCTATGTGGGAATACCTCAGGATGATCCACACTGTCAACTTTCTTGAGAAGTATGCCCTGATGGACAAACTTAGAGCTGTTGGGGCCACACATGCATCTACTGCACAGAGTATGTATATAACAGTAGGGATAACCCCAAACATCCTTCAGTTCTGAAGGAGCAGCAGGCTTTTAGTCTATTTATTTTAGATAGTTCCTTTTATTCCCTCTTAATGTCTTTTACCTTTAAATCTTGGTGTCTCTCTATGTGGGAGGCCCCTGATGTGGCTAAGTTTGTGGCATAGATGGGCCATGTAAGAGGATTCTACTATGTAGTCAAAATTCCCTGTTGGATTATTTTAATTTAACTAAGAGCCAGCAGCAAACCAAAGAACTAGGACACTTATCAACCAGTTTCCAGAGATCTAACTAACCCTTTAATAAAAATGACATTTTCTTTGAGTAACTTCAACACAGACTTGTCACTCACTCTAGTCAGATCTTGAGCCTAAAATCCAGCATTTTTCATAAACACGTTTTGCTCCAGTACACCACTTCTAAACCTGATCCCCACATGTGACTATACATGTAGAATCTGATAGCGCCGCTTTACTTTCCTGTAGGCTAGAAATGGTTAGCCAAAATAGTGGCAAGTTAAGACTTGTCAAATAGCTAAAGAATATTGTCTCAAAATGACTGCCTGGTAAACGCTACTTTTGGTGTTTCCAAAAGATCAGACATAAGCATTCACTTCAAGATTGTCAGTTAAACAGACCTCTGGAGCTACAAGTTCCTGTCCCTCAGTAGAAAGCCTTCAGTGCAAGTAGGATCTTCCTTCCCCATTGGTCAGGTTTCAAAAACGTAGCTTATGTGCATTAGGAACTTTGATTTTAAAATCAAACTGTAGCCAGAATAGAAGACTTAGTTTAGACCCTGTCTTTCCTGTATAAATTTCTGGAGTTAACTACTTCAGGCTTTCTGTATCTGCCACTCAATACTTTGATACTCTAGGAAGTATTGCTTGTCTTCTAGCCTCATCAGCCTAATGCATTATGGTGAGGTTATGTAGGAGTTATATTAAGTGCCTAGTCCAGGACTGAAATTGACTTAAAGCATTTTCTATCATAGGCATCAGGAGTACAAGTGGCTGATGAAGTATGCCGTATCTTTTATGACATGAAAGTTCGGAAGTGCTCCACGCCTGAGGAAATCAAGAAAAGGAAGAAGGCAGTTATCTTCTGTCTCAGTGAAGACAAAAAGTGCATTGTTGTGGAAGAAGGCAAAGAAATCCTGGTGGGAGATATTGGCGTAACAGTTTCTGATCCTTTCAAGCAGTTTGTGCAGATGCTCCCTGAAAAGGATTGCCGTTATGCCTTGTATGATGCAAGCTTTGAAACAAAGGAATCAAAAAAAGAAGAGTTGATGTTCGTCCTATGGTAAGCTGGAAATGTGGTTTATATGTGTGACTTGGTCTCTTGGCTTACCCAATGTACATACATGCCTGGCCTGTACACAGGGTCTACATTAATGTGTAAGACACTGAAATGTGGTGACACACTCATCTGGTCCAATATATTGCATGCAGTTTAGGTGGGTATCAAATGTTCATAAACTTGTAGGGCCACTGCTTCAGTCACCTGAGTCTGTAGGTCTTAAGATTCAATATCTGGATATTGAACATCATTGTCTTAACTACTTTCCTCTTGGTATATCCAACTAGGGCACCAGACCAAGCGCCTCTCAAGAGTAAGATGATCTATGCAAGCTCTAAGGATGCAATCAAAAAGAAATTTCAAGGTATGTAATACAGGCAACACTTCCTGACTTGGCCCAATTAAATCTGTCTTGTACCATATAACTGCTGACACACAGGACTTAACTGTTGCTAATTGACTAGTGTTTATTTAGAAATACCAGTTGAAGATGACTACTTAGCAAGTGAAACTTCTTGAAACATGATTAAAACACAGCATAGCAAAAAAGTGTTCGAATTGCATGTGCAGTAGAACTGCATTTTGAAGTGAGCCAAGACCAACATGCCATGTTAGAGCAGATCTTTCAAAATGTGGGGGGGGAAATAAGTACAGACACTGTTCTGATTAGTGTTCAATGGCATAACTTGGGAATGGGGGGGGGGTGTAAAAATTTTACTACTAAATTGGATCTTGGCAGCTGTCCATGTGGCTCAGGGTATTTCAATCCTGCATTCAGTGAGATACTGAACCTTCTATAGCAAACCTTACGACATTGCTCTTTAAAGGTGTGTGAGGTAGCAGAGTAAGCAACCAAGATGCTATCCTGGGTTACTAAGGCATAGTCAGCGACAGTAATCACTAGTGGAGCAGGACTGCATACCCTGATGTTTGTTGTTGTATTATGACCCCTTAATCTTCACCTTCACGCTTCCTAAATTTTTCCACTGATTAATATGTAAACTCACTAACATTTTTGGCACCTAAGCCTAAACTTGCTCCAGGCGTACACTAGTCTGCAGGGGCAGAACAGGACAAGAATGCAGCAGTGCTGAACTGTTGGGGTTCACAGGTAGCCCGCACAGGCCAAAAAACAAATTGGCATTGGTCAGGGAGTGGTCCTGAATGTAGTACATGCAGGAGTAACGCCGCCCTCCATAGGAAGAAGCACATATATTGCCATTTCCAGTGCATTTGTCATCTCCTCCCCAAACTAGCAAGGCCTTGCTGGTACAGAGAGGTGACTTAAGCTTCTCTTCACTACTTTACTGAATTTGGTCTGTGTATCTATTTTGAATTGGCTTTTTTAGCCATTTATTAAAAGCTTGCTTTTGAGATCCCCAGTCCCTAATCCCTCTCTGTGAGCATGGCTTCCCTGTTACCTAGTCCATGGCTCTTCAACTGCACACATCCAGGGTCCCGTGCCACTTCAATGGGTTTTTTATAATGCTGAAACTCCCAGCTTCACTCCAGCAAAATCTGCAACTGGGAAGACCAAAACATACATATCCAGTTCAAGTATCCAATGCCCTAACATGTCCAAATGCCTTGAGTACTTAGTGATGTGCAAGCACTGATACTGAAATTCAATGGCACTTGAGCACCTAAATCCCTTGGACTCGTAACATTCTAGACGGGACTGTGATGTGCTTGAATTACTGTGAATTGTTGGACTACCTGCTCAGACACTCTTAGCTACATATACAAGTTTCTAATGAGAATTACTAGCATATGGGAGAACTTGTGAATCACTGAATTTTTTTTGCCTTTCTTCTAGGCATAAAGCACGAATGTCAAGCAAATGGGCCAGAAGACCTTAACCGAGCTTACATTGCCGATAAGCTAGGAGGCTCCCTAATCGTAGCTTTTGAAGGATGTCCTGTGTAGATGCCATACAGTGCCACAACTCCACAAGCATTCCATGTTTTAATATATCAATTATGTAAAGCAAACATTCTAAACCAGGGTTTCACTAATGGTAGGGAAGCTGTCTGTCTTGTAGAATGAAGTAGACTTTGGAGACGTAGTTATGTACAAATGATCCTAAATAAATCAAATTTAAGGATTTCTCTTGCCTGAGCAGTCTTATCACAAACCAGTTTAATATTGAACTCTGGCTTCAGTACTGCATAGTGAGGGGCGGAGGGGGAGATTATCTAAAATGTAGCAAACATCACAATCTTAAATTTTTTCTGTAGCCATCAGCCAAGTCACAGCTTTTTTTCTTTCTGGCTAGTGTCTTAGAACAAGATTAATACAACTTTATTAAATGTCATATGCTAAAAGGAATGCTGTCTGTCATCTTAACCCTTCAGTGTACTGCTCAAAACTCCTCTTATGTTTAAACACAGCACACTCTGGTGTACCCTAGCAAATAGCTAAAATCAAAGTACAAAAACACACCCTTTCCTAGGGAAATAATCCTAAACCATTTCTTGTAAACTCATGGTCTTTTTAGTGTCTGAAAGCTCCCTTGTTGTGCATTCTGATAACTGATTTAGAACAGTTCTGTGTTCATAGAGCTTGCACTATAGTACTAAATCTCTCTGCTAAATCAAACTTGTACACCAATACTGAAAAGTCAACTTAAATGTCAATCAGAAGCTCTTACTTCATTTGTGCTGATGATGATGAGAGGGTTCCGGAGGGGCCATTTTAACTCACCTAAGCAATGTTCTGAACCTCTGATCTGATTCAGGCCAGTGGAATAGGGATGTGTAAACTACTCCATGTTTCTCAAGCTTGGAATTAAGCCATTTTCATTACACTGGTTTGAGCTAAACTGCTGTAGGGACTTGTAGAGACTTCTCAACCCTGTTTCTGTAGAAATCTGTAGTCGGACTTCAAAGCATATTACTTGCAACTGCCTTTCAATAAATGCAGAGACCATTCCACCCAAATATACCATCAAGCTTCCAAGTTTTACCTTTAACCAATCAGCTGTATAAAGGAAGGACTTTTAACCAGTCTCTCAGCCACTGTCACTTGTGCAATTGTATAGGGCATATCTATAGCACTTCTCATGCACTAACCTATGTTCTGGGCTGGCAGCCCTAACAAGCTCCAGCAGGGAGTCTCTCCACTGGGTTAATAGCAACGCTTGGCATTAGATGTACCTTGGGAGGTGTACAGCAGGGACTGTATTCCAGGGCCGTACAAGCCAAAACCCTGCATGACCTACACATTTACTCACTTGGGATGAGTGAGGAAGTGCACAGTGCTCTTCTCTTGCTGTACTCATGCAACTTGGTCCTGGTGCAGCTGCACTGTTGATGTAGGTTTATTTTTCCCTGACTCACTGCACGCACACTCCCAAACCAGGATTAGTGGGGAAGGAGCGTTGGATGGAGCACAGACCACAACACTCAGGGCTATGTGACTTTGTATCAATCACACTTCTTGTACCTCCATTTCTGTACAAGTGAAGGGACTCTGAGTACCAAAGTTTCAACAGTACTATTAACGTTTCGTGTCCTCGGTGATCCTTGGAGAGCAAAGTTATATTACTCTACCTAGACAAGCCCTGCTGCCATCTACAGCTACTGTAAGCATGGTGGTATCACTGCCCTGTTAGTGATGCTCCTGGAGCAGAATGCCACCCATGATGCAGTACACGAGCAGGCTTGTTAATGTTCCCTTGGGCTCTCATCCCAATGCCATTGTTGCTGTGGGACTCCAGTAGCTGGAACTTCTGGCACCACTCTAGTTCCCTATGGCAGGGGACCTGCTCAGGAGAGAAAGCAAGTGCTCAGTTGAAGCAGGGATTTTCTCTTCTCTCCCCAACAGTGGCAGCTGCTGGCCTACATATCTGCCTCCAGCAACCAAACCAAATGCAGCTGCTTCTGTCCTAAACATCATGTGAACAGCAGCCAGATTCTCTCAACATGAATACATCTCTTCTTCTTTCAGTACCTTCCAGAGCCAGCCCCAGTTCCTTACCATCTAGAACTAGGAAGCATCTACTGTGTAACTTCCACTATTGTGTTAAAAATATTGCATGAGGATCTAGTCAGCAGCCCAAAGTGGTCTCCACTCTTGGCTATCAGATACTTTGCCTGTTCCTCAACTTGAATGCCAGAAACAGCACAGTAGAGGTTCATGTGGCAGTGAAAGGGGTCAGCAGTGGGAGGGTTTGCCCTGTTAAACTGGGAAAATACTATGAAAGTGAAGGTTCCAGTAGTGACGCTTGGGTAGTCACAGTGCATATCTGCGACTGCCTAGACCTGTTTTTCTGGTTAAATGTAATTGATCGTTGCATGATGCATAAACACGTTCCCTGCCCTGCATGTTCTCTGTTGCATTGCTGTTGAAACCATCACACTTGCATTTTCTGATTAACTGGGCAGCTGCTCATGTGATATCCGCATGCTTCTGCTTTTGTGATTGAAATCTATGAAGATCCATGAGGCATCAGAAATGCTTCCTTAAGTCAAGAAAAGGAAGTAGGCTATGTTAAAAGTATCTCTTTGAGCATTTGTCCCAACTCACTCCTCCGCTAACTGGAGTGAGTAATACCTGCCAGAAGTTTCTGCTTTCTCAGCTGGCTGAAATGATGTCTGGTTAAAGTCTGTTTTCAGATAAGTGCCGCTCCTCGTTCCTTACTCAGACTTTGCTTTAACAAATAAAGACCTCGCGGTTAAGGTGGAGCTACAATCTAGATGAGATGTCAAACACTAGATCAAAATCTCTAGGGAAAATTCCTGCTTCACTTAAGTCAAGGGGAGTTGGGCGGGCCCCAGTTTTCATTCCCTATTTAACAGGATTCATTGCTAAATGGAAGAGGAAAGAAATCAATTGGAATGGCTTAGGCTGGCAGGGGGGGTTGACTGTCCTCTCATCATAACCACCCTTGCGAGCATAGAGATGAGACCTGGGAGGATAATGCCCAGTTCTCCCAGTTCCAGCTGATGGGAGTGGCTCATGGCTGCCTTCCCCCTCAGCCTTGATACTGGTGTTTGGAGTAAAATGGTTCTTGGTGCTGGCAATATTCCTTGGCAGGAGACACTGATACTTGCCAGAAGGTGTCCAAGGGTTATACTATGCCAGGCTTTCTGCAGGCACTAACCACACCCCACTAGTCCTGGGGTGAGTTACCGAACAAAACTTCTCTTCAACCTTCCCTACAAGCCCTCTGCTTGTATGACCGAGTGTGGAGGGGGGGGAAGCTTAGTGTCAAACGGATTTCATCACAGGCACCCTTGCGGGGGAGCCTGACCTAGGAGCCACAGACAAAAGGAAAAGAGTCCCCTATGTCTTGCACCAATCTGTCAGCGTTCTCTACTCAGAACATTTTCAGCTCTGCGGCATAGATTGCAGTGGGTTTCTTCACAAAGGAGGTTAGGCGTATCATGGCCCTGTCCTCTAGCTGGCAACACTGAGCAGAGACATTTAAAAAGCCCAGTGGTTTGAATTTGGTCACTTCAATAATCTAACTTTCAAAGCTGAAAAAACAGGAGACTAATTTTAGACTGCCCAGTTTGAAAAGTTTTGCCTAAAACACCTACCCAGTGTCTAAGAGTGTGTGTGGGGACAGAAGGTGCCAGGCCTCCTGACTCCTAGAGTTGCACTGTCCTTCTGCTACAGACCATGCTACTGGTGGACTCTCTCTCTCTCTCTCCTTCCCCCCCCCCCCATCACCCTCGATGTCCTTTTATGGTAAAATAAGCACATCACAGCGCTGGGCTCCTCCTGGACATGGGGAGCACTTGGCATACAGGCTATAGCATTCCCTAAGCAAATACAGCTGCTGGAGGAGCTGCCCTATCCTCCTGGCAGGGAGAGGCGTGAAGAAACTGGAACCTGCCTGCCACGCCTCGGCACCCTGCAGAAAGAGGCGTGGTCAGCCTGTGCATCTGTGCAGTGCCCGGCAGAGATGTGCATGTGGCCAGGGGAAGTGCGCCCCTCCTGCAGCCCTGTTCTGGAAGCAGCAGCTGGAGTGAAGCCAAGGGCCCTGGGAGGGAGCGAGGTTCTCAGGGGTTAACTTTGCCCGTGGCTGGGAGAGGATGGCGCCTGAGGCGTTCCCTGAGTCACACAGCCATCAGGTGCCAGCTGATGATGCAGCCCTCTAGGGTAGCCCAGCAAAGCATACACCTGGTTGAAACCAAGGTTAAACTGCCTGGGTGAGACTCCAGGCTTAGAGCAGTTTATCCTGCTCGCTGTAGGCATTTGGACTGGTATACCAATGGCACTGGCTGAAATCCAGCAAACCTCCACTGTAGATAAGGGGGAAGTGACACGGGGCTAGGGCAGGCCGTTAAACAGAGAGTGTATGTGCTAAAGGGGAAAGACGCGAAACCAGCGTGACACCCTCAGGGTGTTATACAGTAATACAACTAGAAGAGGGGACATGCGCTGCCAGCATCCCAGGCTGCGTGACAGCACTGTGAAGCGAGACTAGGAGGGTGGTTGGGGTGGGGGGACCAGCAAAGGGGTATTATCAAATGTAGAGGTGCTGCATGGACACCACCAAAGGAAAGTGGATGGGGGTGATGCTACCCACACTACCGTCTACAAGTGGGGCACTGGCTCAGAGTGCTGACCTCTGCTGTCCAAAGGATAAAATTACAGGGGCCAGAACCCCCACCCTGCTGCTCCAGTCCAGCTGCCAATACGGGACTCGGGGGGGGGGGGGTGTTTTGTTTGTTCACTTTCGGGAGCGGCTCAGCATTGCTACTCCCTTGGACATCTGGCCTGACCCCATTACAATACTGTAGGGCTCTTCCGCCCTCCTGGTCTAAAGTTAACAAACATGCACTCAGCCACCCCACCCCATAGTTAGCTCCAGCCCCGCTCATCAGCATCCACTGTGTGTTCTGGTTTATAGCTGCGCCCACCTGTGAGCCACTCACAGGTCCAGGGGCGCATAGCCAGGTGTTCAGCTAAAGGGGACTAAAATATGGTCAGGGCCTTAGTCTGTGCCCAGGAGCAGCTGACTGCAGGGAGTGGTTTGCAAACTTGTACAGCTACCACCAGGGCGTAGCCTTTGTGTTCTTGTTCTGCTACTGCATTGTACCCTGGGGAAGGGATAGCCACAGAGAGGCTGCTTGGTGTTAGCATGCAGGGACTCTGCCTCTCTCTCCCTGCCCCAGTTGGGTCAGAGGCTGAGACATCTCCACCGGGGCATCCTACCTCCTCCACGCCAGGCCTTTTACAGCAAAGCGTGAGCCCGCCACGCTGGGCGGCTATAGCTCTCGGCCCCTTCTCCACGGGGACGTGTTTTGCTGACCCTGGTGCAGGCTTTGCCTCCATTGTCCAGTCCTACCCCTCTTCCTCCAAGAAAATGTGT